GTCTCTTCATACTGTTCGCGTTCCTTTCTACTTGGTGAAACTGTTGTGCTATTGAAGTTTCCCCCTATATATTTATATTGGTCTTGTATAGTTGCAAAGTCTCCCTCGCAGGCGCGGGCGGCGGCTCTGTCCCTCTGCGGGCCGCTAGGCTTGTTCTGTCGGTGGTCACAGTTCTGTCTACTTTGCAGGCGCAGGCAGCGGCACTGCCCCTCTGCAGGCCTCTGGGGCTGTACTGCCAGTGGGTCGCAGGTCCGCCTACCTTGCAGGCGTGGGGGGGGGGGCGGCTCTACCCTTCCTCAGGCCACTGGGCCTGTTCTGTCTCTCGGTTGCAGGTCTGGCCTGTTCTGATGGTGGTCACAGTTCCGTCTACCTTGCAGGCGCGGGGGGAAGGGGGCGGCTCTGCCTCTCAGCAGGCCGCTGCTCCTCTTCTGCCGGTGGGTCGCAGGCCCGCCTACCTTGCAGGAGTGATTGGAAGCTCTGCCACTCTGCGGGCCACTGGGCCTTTTCTGTCAGTGGTCACAGTTCCGCCTACCTGACAGGCGCGGGGGGTGGGGGGCGGCTCTGCCCCCCAGCAGGCCGCTGGGCCTGCTCTGTGCGTGGTCACAGTTCCCTCTACCTTGCCGGTGCAGGGGGAGGGGGCGGCTCTGCCTCTCAGTAGGCCGCTGCTCCTCTTCTGCCGGTGGGTCGCAGGCCCGCCTACCTTGCAGGAGTGATTGGAAGCTCTGTCCCGCCGCGGGCCACTGGGCCTTTTCTGTCCGTGGTCACCTGGCAGGCGCGGGGGGTGGGGGTTGGCTCTGCCCCTCAGCAGGCCGCTGGGCCTGCTCTGTGCGTGGTCACAGTTCCCTCTACCTTGCCGGTGCAGGGGGAGGGGGCGGCTCTGCCTCTCAGCAGGTCGCTGCTCCTCTTCTGCCGGTGGGTCGCAGGCCCGCCTACCTTGCAGGAGTGATTGGAAGCTCTGTCCCGCCGCGGGCCACTGGGCCTTTTCTGTCTGTGGTCATAGTTCCCCTACCTGGCAGGCGCGGGGGGTGGGGGGCGGCTCTGCCCCTCAGCAGGCCGCTGGGCCTGCTCTGTCGTGGTCACAGTTCCCTCTACCTTGCCGGTGCAGGGGGAGGGGGCGGCTCTGACGTTACATTCTTATAAGCCCACTGTAAATTGAAAATGTTGCAAGTAGGAAATGCATTTAATACAACTAGCCTACTAAATATTATAACTTTGCAATATAATACACTGTAGCAGTTTGGTTATTTCCCTTATGATGGCGTGGTTGACTGAGTTGTGGTTCTCTGCCACTGTCCAGCTTCATGAAAGAGGATTATGCTGCACCTCATTATCCCAGGAAAGATTGAGATTTAAAGTTTAAAGTGTTATTTCTACTGAAGTATGAAGTAGGCAAATCACTTTTGCACTGTTTTAAAGTTAAAGAATCAAAGTTAAACCAGTGGAACTTGAGGTCAGTCTTTAAATTATTTTTATTTGTCAGCAGTACCTCAATAAAGATAGAAAGAAGGGCTGGGGTCATAGCTCAGTGGTAGAGCACTTGCTGTGTGTGAGGATGTGTGAGGCCCTGGATTCAATTCTCAGCACCACAAAAAGTATAAATAAATAAAAAATATATTATATCCACCTAAAATATTTTTAAAAAGATGGAAAGAAAGCACAAAAAAGCAATCATGATTTAAAAAGGAAGTTTAATATAGCATACATGAGATTGGAGATGGATGTCACTGGTATAGAGAGTATAAGAAAATTTAAGGAAAAGGTAAAACATGCCTACAGTTAGTGAATTACCAACATGGCAGCAATCCAGCTTTACTAATGGGATTAGTGGGAGAACAATAACATGAGAGCTTTGGATCTAATTGCAAGGGACATCTGTGTTGAAAGAATATGTTTATTTCTACTACTTCTTGGTAATTCTCTAGGGCTGCTGGGAGGGGAGTGGATGATGAAACTGGGGAGAAGCTAGCTGAAAGATGATGTAAATTAGGGCTGTCCAGGAGGGGTGCTTGCTGTGCAATGGAGTTGAGGAGGAAGTGACAGAACTGGAAACCTCCAGGACATGTGGCGTGAAGAAGAGTGGGCAGATGAGGACTCTTCAACTTTGAGCCTGGGTGACTGAGGGCAGGAGATGATGGGGTGGTTCACGGTGGTGAGAAGGAGGCAAATATCCCTAGGCTGATGCAGATTGCTTTGAACTTCACATGCCTGAAGGATGTGTGGGAAGAAGTGTAGAATATAGTCATGGTACTCAAGGCAGGCTTGAGAAGACCCAAGGGGAGTGTGAAGGGGTGGGGTACAGAGAGCATAGGAGACTTCTGGCCAGGCCCACGTTTCTGCTGTGTGAGGAGAAACATCAGCTATGGAGGGTGTTCTGTTCAGTCCGTAGCTGGGTACACTGCAGTTCAGTTCTGCCACTGAATATCTGGAATTAGCACAGACCCCTCAAGTCAAGGTCTATGATGTTTTGGAGAGATCCAAGGAGGCAGGTTCAAAAATATAAGAAGCATATGATGAGAGGGTGGGGATGTTGGGTCAGTCCAACTCCTGGGAACGAGAGAGGACTGGATCTTGAATTCAATCCTATCGCCAGTGGTTTACTCAGTTATGCCTGGTAAACCCAAAGGGCATGGTGCCCAACAAGACTGCTGTTTTTTTCAGATGCCAACTACACTTCAAGGGTTCTGAGGCCATCTGCACTTCAGACTGACTGGCTAGAAATATGGAGTGCCCATGACCCCATCAGGTTTGATTATTTGCTAGAATAATTCATAGAATTTAGGAAAGCACTACACTTACAATAGTTTTATTTTAAGGATAAAAATCAAGAGGAGCAGCCAAAATGGAGAGATGCATAAGGCAAAAGTTCTGGAAAAGTTGCAGAGCTTCCATGCTCTCAACTCAAGGAATCTGGCCATGTCCCCCTCCCAGGATATCTAGTTGTTAACTAACCTGACCTCCATTGAGTCTTCATTTGCAGAATTTTGACTGGGGTTTTATTATGATTAAGGAAGCTATTGCCTACACAACTAAACTCAATATCCAGTCCTCTATCTTCCCTAGAATTTGAGCTTCCCATTCTCTAATCTTATCTTTCATTAATTATATTTTTCAACCTTCCCCCTTGGACCAACTTCTCCCTCCAAAACATTATAGACCCAACCTGTTTCCTCTGACCTATGATGATGCTTTAGCTATCTGAAGACATTTCCAAGCTTCCTCTTGCCCCAGATATGTGTGTGTGTGTGTGTGTGTGTATTTTCTAGTTGAATAATTCCAGTATTCTCTTATGTTTCTAAAATGACATGATTTCCAGATCTTCATGGGCTAACCACACTTTTCTGAGTTCACTTTAATCAAGAATACTCTCATTCGTACACAGACTCTGGAATATCATACAACATTGCAACTATACTCCCCCTCTCTGCAGCACCCAAAGGGACACCTGCCACACTTGGCAGAATCTCCCCTCGTGTAAGCACTTCTAAGGTCTTCTGGCTTTTATATGACCACCTGGTAGATCTGGTCGCTATCAGACTCCTCATCAAATGAAAGGCTTGCTGCCTATGAGTCAGACCTTTTGCTGGAAAGCATGGTAACTGGAAAATACTATAAAGAGTAAGGATAGAAGTCACATTCAGCAAAAGACAGACAAGGGAGAGAAAGAGTAGGGAATGTTAGTGGTCCAGACAGACAAGGAGTCCTCTCCATGCAGCTGTTTGTAATGCTCTGGGAATCCACACAACAGACATGGGACCCCCCACCCCTGCCTCAGGAGCCAGGACAGCATATCTGCACAATATTAATTTATAATCAGAGAACTTATTCTGGAAACTGTACAAGAGACTAGCTGGGTCATTAGCTCCCACTGTTCTGTCTGCCATGATTCAGAGCTTTCTTTAGTGCACGATTGAGTCCACAATGGAGGAAATAAAAAGGCTGGTCAAGTTGAAGAGAACAGGTGGTAAACAGACAGAACTCAAGGTGTCTGGCAGCAAAACTGTTGAGATTTTGGAGTACTTTGGTCTGTTTTATCACTGTACCTTTTAATTTATTTATGTTTACTTATACTCCATGATAGCTTTAGTAAGAATTTGATGTTCCCCCATAAGGGAATGCAAAATATAGACAACAGGATTAATTAAAAGTGAGTTCAAAAGAAAAGGAAAAAACAGGAGTGACTACATAAAATAGAGCAAAGATTTTGTGTTTACTGCATTGGTCTCCATGTTCAAGCCACAATTTATCTACAAACATTTAAAACAACAAATTAGAAAAAGGAAGCCCAATTACTCTCATAGTTCACAGTGTCTTTAAGATGAAACACAAACCATTTGCCTGAAGTTATGGAGTTCTTGATATAGTATCGACTGGGATTTGCTAGAGAAGAGATACCATGCTGTGTGATATTATGAACAACTTTTTAAATGAAATCCTTTTACTTGAAACTTTATGGCAATTTCTCTACATTGGCTGCTGGCATTGCACTAATGTACAAGCCTGAGAAAGCAAACAAAGCCAAGGACAACTCCAAAATAGAAATTGCACCAAGGAAAAAGAAATGCTTGAGTTTTCTATCTGTCTAGATCCGGCTTGATCTACATGTAAACTGAATATTGACCTGGTTTCTATCAGATGACCTCCTCTGCATATTGTTATGTAGCCTGAGTCTGTTTCTTCACCATAAAATATGAATGGTATGTTCCTTCAGTACTGAGATACTTACAACACTTAACAATAACATATAACATGAGCATAGTACCTGACATATAATGCATTTATACTACATCGTAGTTATGTTTAACCAGGGCAGCAATGCAAAAATCCCAGTGCACATTAGCTGAATTACATGACAGAATTTGCCCTTTGTTGCTACTAAAGGACTGAGGCCTGGATAAAGCAGACGGGAGATGTCTTGTGGGCAAGGAGACTCTATGTGGGTTGGAGGTGGGCTGTGTGTCACCATGCAGCAGAAGGCTCACTTTTAAATATGTTGTTCACAGGAATTACACTCTATAGCCACCCATATGGAGGATCCTTGCTGAATGAAGACAAGATGTGAGTTGAAGGAATGCTGGGAGGGCCCCAAGTATGGAAGAATATCTTTGAGTCTCTTAGTGGTGATTTTGATCCCTTTTTGACATTTGTTGGGAGAGAAGTTGGCATATGTAGTTAGTGGCACAGGGCCTGGGCATCTCTTTGCAAAGCGGGAGGAAAGTGATTATTAAAAGGGTCAGTGGTTTGACTGAGCTTAAAATGGATGAGAATATCATGCAGCTATATTTTTAAGCAGAAATCATCCTAAGGGGATGTGTTTCCCACAGCTTATGGGACTGCACATCTTCAAGGACACTTTTTCAATTTAACATCATAAATGTGGAATTCAGATAGGTGAATATAGTAGTGTCTCCCTGGGTAGTTCTCATGTGAGATTTTCCTCACAGTCCCAATGGGGCATGGAGCCATTGGGCAGGTGTTAAAGCCAGCTCTTTTAGGTACAGAATGTCAGTTTCTTTTGTCTTATTACAAGATATAGTTCTGTACAACTTCTCTTTTTTTCTTCCATCTCCCTTTCCATATCATGTTTGACAAACTTTTAGTTAAAATTCAATAAAAATATAAATACTATTTATGCACTTGCTGTGACCTACCAAGGTGAGAATAAAATATGCTTAATTGGCATTCTCTCCTCAAATCATTACCATCACAGAAAGGATGGGTTGCAGTTTGTCCTCTCATTCATATACTGATTTTCAGGATAATATCTTTAACAGTCTCTGACACCTGCCTAGAGTTCCAGGAGTGGGCTAGTTGACATCTTTTATAGAACAAGACATGTTGGAAAAGAAGGCATGGCCCAGCGGATGTTTGGTGGTGAAATGTTTCATCATGTTGGACACCTGAAAGATCATTTGTGTACTGCTGTTCCCAGAGGTGGAACAGAGGAGAGCAGGCAGCACATGGCTGGACAAAAGAACAAGAGTAGTATTCCAGTTTTAAAAAGTGCCCAAGAGAGTGTGCAATGTGTATGATTAGACCTTGACCATTTGTAAAATTATTTTGGTATTTTAAGTAACTAAATTTGGAGATGGGCCTGCAAGGTATGCAAATGCCCCTTCTTGGCAGGGTCTGCTGTAGAACAAAGAAATCCCAATGTAGGCAAAGTCCACACTGTATTTTGAATGTCACCCTGGGCATGTCTTTCATTTGTAATTGCTCCTCAACTTTATAATTCTCAGTTATGTCTTTTAGCTTCTGAACAATAATCCATGTCTCCAAAGTTGGTCACAGGGATTTAATGAGAGAATTCTTATATTTAGATAGTCTACCTAACTGATTATTGTCCCTGATTTTTAATAGAAAGAAGACTCCTGTTCTTCCTCTAAATCTGACAAGCTATTCTGTTTCGCCTACAGCCTGGAGAGCATCCGCCAGTGTGGTGTTGCCCTCTGCATTGTGCTGGGATTCTCTATCCTGTCTGCATCAATTGGTAGCTCTGTGGTGAGGGACAGAGTGACCGGAGCCAAGAGGTTGCAGCACATAAGTGGCCTTGGCTACAGGACTTACTGGTTCACTCACTTCCTGTATGACATGGTAGGATTTGGGATGAGATCCCAGTAACCTCTATGCTAGTGATCCCTTCAATGTGTGTGTGTGTGTGTGTGTGTGTGTGTGTGAGGGTGAGGAAGAGGAGACCTGGGCGTGTGGGGACTATCCACAAAAGAAAGGATAATTTTATTATTGAGAGCATTTCAGGTTAAGTCACCTTTACTGGTCATTATCTGTCATTTAGGAATGCTTCATATGGCAAAGACTCAGGAATCTCAGGCTGGGAAATGAAGAGCCTGACCAGAAATGCAAAGTTTCTTATTAGGGAAATGAATAAATAATCTCCTTTAATATGCACTCTTGAAGGGGTGGGTGATGAGGTGATTAATAAATAATTAGAAAAGATCTGTCATCTGCATGCTTAAAAGCACCCCCACTGAGGCTTGAGCTCCATTCCCTAGTTTATACAGCAGTTATTAGTATTTCTTGCAGGAATTCAGTTTCCCAGCAGAAACCCTCCTGATCATTATCTGCAGTTCCAAAGAAGACAGTAACAGATGCATTGTTGAGCTGTTCCCTAGAGTTGAGGACATTTATCTTGCTTTAGAAAGTGCATCTTCTATGAGAGAAGTGCTCTTTGATGGTCAGTAGTCACTTTCATTGTTACAGAGTGGCATTGCCCTTTTTGTAGGAATGTGATATTTTTGTCCTCGTGCCTTCATAAATGACTCATCCTATGATTTGAGAAATTTTATGTCTGTGGGAGTAAGGGCAGGCTTAACATTTGCTGAGTACTTGCCATTAACTAGGTTCTATAACAGCTGTGTTATTTTGTGCAGAATCTGATGCATTAACATGTTGCTCTTATGTAGTATTTATTCCTTTGAGCTGGCTTAGAATTTAGCAGATTTGTTTCTTTTTGATCATGTAACCTAGATTTTTTTTAGAAGTACAGTTTATGCAGGTCACATCTGAGTTCACCTCAATCAGGGTTTTCCCCAAACCTACTTGGTGGTAGTAACCATCTAGACACTTCTCTAGATTCCCAAGGGCCCACCTGCAAGATTGTGTTCTATGGGTGTGGATAGGTCTTTGAGGTCTTCCTTTCATTAGAACCCCAAGGTAATTTTTGAATCTCAAACAAGACTGAATAATGCTGGTCCTTGGATGCCCTCATCTTTACCAAGGGGTTCTTGAAGGCTGGAGAGAGGAAATGGTTCATCCAGGACCATATTTCTGATTGGTATGGCACAGACTCAGTGCCTGCTTTTACCTCCTGTTCAATTTGGTGCAGTACCACATGTGGCCAAGAGTCACTCTTCTGTTCCACGTCTCCCATTCATGGTGTCTAATGGACTCGCCATCCCCAGAGAAAGGGAAGATGAACCAAGTCATAGGACCAGGAGACACCAGAGAGCATCCAAAGTTTTCCAAACCCTAGGGTTTTCCTTTTGCTACCTCCTTAATTGACAATCTCTTTATTCCTCACACTCAATGTGAGCTCTTATTTACCTATAATATTTCTCTTTGGAGTTTCAGGATAGGGAGGATTTATTAGCTTCTTGATTTATTGTTTCTTCTACCTTTATGCATTCATTCCCTGATCATTCTATTTGATGACTCATTAGATGAATAGAATAAATGAATAAAATATTTTATTCATTTGACCTTCTATGTGTCAAAGTATGTCTGGATGTTAATTTCCACCCAAAATCCAACTTTCAAACCCAATAGTCAATGTAATGGTATTAGGAGGTGGGAGCTTGAGAGGTGATTAGTCATGTAGGTAGAACCCTCTGGAATGGGTCGGTGCCTTTATTTAAGGACCTAAGAGAGATCTCTTTCCATTTCCACCATGTGAAAACACAGCAAAAATGTACCATTTATGAAGAAAAAGGTGGGCAGACCCTCACCAGAAAATAAATCTACTGATGCCATGAATTTGAGCTTCCCAGTTTGCAAAACCATGAGCAATACATCTCTGTTATTTATCAGCCATTCAGGCTATGGTATGCTATTTTATTTACTCAAATGGACATAATTGTTTATACTAAAGTCATGAAAAAGTTAGAGAATATCTCTCCTGTCATAGAGCTTATAATCTAATGGGAAGCAGCAGAAAACGACTAAATAAATGTACCAGGTAGAAGGGGCTTATAGCTAGATTTATTGAGAAAATAAAAACGGGGCAATAGGGAGGAGGATAACTTTAAATTGGGAGCACAAAGAGGGAAATGAAATTTAAGCTGAGATCTGAAAAGTAAGCATGAATTATGCCATGTCACATGGGTGACACTGAGAAGAGCTCTGCAGCCAGAAGCCACCCCAAAGAATAAGTACTGGGTATTGAGAGCCCCCAAGAAGCGCCCTGGCTGTTGTCCTGTGGAAGTACCTCAAAGGAAGGCTATGTAGGAGGACAGGACAAGGAGTCTGCCCTTCATTCTACATGTGGGCAGAGCCTTGTTCTTGGAGAGTAACTGGATTCCTTGACTTTTCTGAAAGAAGATGGGTAGAACTGACCCTGTCAGGCTGCTAGGGCTGCCATACCCCAAAATACCACAGACTGGGCACTTAGCAGAAACGTATCTTCTCACAGTCCTGGAGGCTGCAAGTCTGAAACTGAGGTACAAGCAGGGTTGGTTTCTCTGAGGATTCTATCCTTGGCTTGTAGATGGTGCTTCTTGTGTCTTCGTGGTTTCATCCCTCTGTGTATCTGTGTGCTGATTTCCTCTTCTTATAAGGGCACAGTCACATAGGACCAGGCTTCACCTGTGAAGCCCTGTCTCCAAATACAGTCACATTCAGAAGTCCTAGGTGTTCAACAGTTGAATTCTGGGGGGACATGATTCAGCCCATAACAGTGACTGTCCTGATTCTCTAGGACAAATTATACTACCAGTCTTACAATGTATGAAGTAGGAGCTATGTTTAAGCAGAAGTTAACAGGAACATTTGAGATAAACATATAACATGACCAACTGATGCAACACGTCTCCCTTTTTTCTTTTTATTTTCTCAGCTCTTTTACTTGGTTTCCGTCTGCCTGTGTGTCGCCATTATTATGGCCTTCCAGTTAACAGCTTTCACTTTCCGTGAGAACTTGGCGGCCACAGCCCTCCTGCTGGCACTTTTCGGGTATGTGATGAGAAACACTGCTGCAAAATTATGGTTTGTTTTCTGAAAGAGAAAACCCTCAGGATGGCTTTGAACCTGCTGTTGGCTTCATGATTTTCTCTCCTCCTGAGCAATTATGTTGCTTCTACAAGGGACACTGAACAAACAAGCTTGAGCAAGATGATGAATGCTCCCGTGGAGGGAGGAAGGGTGACAGGGTCATAATGAAGATGGCATTGGCCCTGTCTCAGAAAGGCCCTCAAGCTGTTTGACAAACTTGTGCAGTGGGAAATGGATTCTCTGTTATTCTCACTTTGACATTAATCGTGGGCTCAAATACATAATCCAGTTAGCTCTGAAATTGCATTTGAGGAGATTCTCTTGTGAACCGCTGTCTGGCATATATTTCCCTCTCCTATAACGTTAGTAGTTGGAAAATGTTTTGCCTGACTTCGATTACTTTTTTCTCAGAGAAAAAATCGCATAAAGAGAAAATCATTGTACAAATTTCTCATATGTACATTAATCAGGATCATTACGAGTGGACCCTAAATAATGCCTATCTGATATCAGAAATATGTGTCTTATGTGGCCAGCGTATGTGTTTGCTTACAGATACTTTCTTATAGGGAAATAATTAATGTACTTACTTTATCGTAATTCAAGGCTATTTTGAAATAAAACATTCAGCTTTAATTTAAGCCTAAGATTACAACTAAAATGAGTTTTACATACTTCTTATATCAGTGATTCAGGATTTTTTAGAACATCTAATTAGGTGATGAAGAATTATTTGAAGAAGTATTCATCATTATCAGATGAATGGATCAATAAATTAATTGATGGATGGATAAGTGGAAGGATATGTAGGGGGAAAGAGAAAGTGCAACAGGAATATTGATATTGCTACTCTCTAATACTGTGGCCTTGGAAATATAAATTCTTCCGTCTGAGCCTCAATATTTCCCTGTAAAACTCAAATTCTGTTCCTGGAAAGATTAAATTGGATAGTTCCTGCAAACAGCTTGGCTAATGAGTGGTACAGAGTCCAATTAAATTAATTTTAGCTATTATTGTTACTCTTGGAATTATTTTACTCTTTTGGAGATACGATGTCCTCTGCTATAAAAAATGCTATAGTAGACATTTTTTTTTATAATATTCAGTTTGAAATTAAGCTCTTATATAAAGAACTATATATGTATATGGCCTTATTTTTAGTTTGTTGATCCCATTGAGTACATAAGTCATGTGTCTTATAGTAAAATGGACTTTACTAACAAAAAATAAATGATTTTTGAATTTTAGAGAAACAGATTTCAAAAATTAAGAAATATAAGGTCAATGTTTAGAAATTCTTATAAGCATATTTTTTTTGAGAGAGAGAGTTTTTTAATATTTATTATCAGTGGACACAACATCTTTATTTTATTTGTATGTGGTGCTGAGGATCAAACCCAGCGCCCTGGGCATGCCAGTCAAGTGCGTTACCGCTTGAGCCACATCCCCAGCCTCCTTATAAACATATTTTAAGAAAATTTTATTAACCATAAATTTGATTATGAGCTCCTTTAGGAATTTGCACCAAGTTAAGAATTCTCCCTATGTATAGAACAACATTTTTTAAAAAGAGGTTTAAAGACTCACAGATCTGTTGATAAACGATTTCTATTACAAACTTCCTGTTCAGAATTCTTAGGTTAGCAGGAATAAGAAGATATAAAAGATAAGTCAGACTGTGTTTGCTATCTGGACTAATTTCCAATAAAGTAGAGCCCAAAAGAGTTCATGGGCTAACATCTAGTAGTAGACTAACCCAGATTTAAAAGGTCATGATTTCCTCACTGGAGCACAGCCACCCCACTGTGAAACTCTGAGACCAGTGACCCACTACTATGGGTGACAGAGCAGAGAGAGCCTCAGTCTGGGGAGCTGCATCTCCTGCGTACCCAGCCATCTATGGGTGAGGATGCAGAGGTGACTCACTCTTGTCCCCAACAGGACCTGTAGGTACCAGAAGCCCAAGAACAATCTCCAGGAAGGCTGAGTCGCAGAACAAGCTGGAACCTCAGAATACATCCATGATTGAGGGAGGGCCATGCAATGAGTTGGACTCTAAGAAAATAAGAGCTGGGATAAATGAATAGATGCTCTCTAGGAGATAACAAAACACAAATGCCTAGTCACAGTGTTTATCTTTTCCTTTCAAGTAAAAATTGATGGAAGGGGTTATTAAAAAGAGGAAAATAACACTTAAAACTCTCTGAAAGAAAAAATAGTCTAGCTTGTATAAGAAAAATTTAAACTCTAGAATATATTTGGGGCATGTCTGGTGCTGAATGATTATGAGGATGAAGTCACAGAATCCTCTCTGGTGTCTTGGGAAATTCACGCAGAGTAGGGAAAGGGTCAGTTTTCGAAGCGGGGATGTGATAACAATACCCTGCCATAAATTCCAGGAAACTACTCAGCAGTACACCAATGTCCAGCAAATTCTAAAATCCTTAAAACAATATATTATATTTTAGTAAAATATCATGGAATAGAAAAAGCCAAAGTAGGGTTCACCTCCCTCAATAAATTATGTTCTACAAGTCAATTCAATTTTTTTCTTAAAAAATGCAAAAGATAAGGGGATTTGAGCTGCTAATATGTTCATTTCAACCAAGTATTCAAAAGGTAACTAATGAAAATGTAGTTAAAAAAAAAGTGATGTGGTGGAATCATCACTGTCTGAAAGCCACTCTCAAAGGCTGCTCATTAATGTAGCAATAGGAGCTCCCTGGTGGCATCATTTAGACTATGTCTTTGTCTCTGATTCACTTTTCTTAGACAATGCTTTGATCCACTTGTCAAATATTTAAATGACAAAACCCAGTATGGAAACCTTATGCAACAATAACAAAGTGCAGATTCTGAGCCATCTTCAGTGGAGCAGGGCCTAGCTTCCAGGTGAGGATTAGTCCCTCCAATAGATTGGAGGAAGAAGGCATTCTTAGATTTCATCCTCCAATGCAGGGATGCTGATCAAAGGGGGTGGTGATCCTGCTGTGCTTTTCGCAGTGCTGACCACATCAGATGCTCAGTGCAGAGCCTCTTTCCCCAATTCCCCTAAACCCCACATTGCCAATTTTAATAGAGAGAGCTGGCTGGATATCATGTTTTACAAGGAACAAAGAGTGATCTGGTCTTTTGTAGTGGAGGCATATGCGGACCAAAATGGTTATTTTCGGCTATTATGAAGTCTGTCATGTGGAAAAGAAAAGCAATCTGTTACATGTTGTTCTATAATATAGAGTTTGAACCAGTACTTTTAAGTTAAGACAATTTTTTGTTCACTCCCAGAACAAGTTTTATGGCAATTAAAGCTACCCCCAAATTTGACTCACATGCTGCTATTGCTTATATGTCAGTTGCAAAGATACTTTCAATACTGTGATTTTATTTGCTTCTTAACAAAGTTAGATAACTGAAGGTAGCACTTGATTTTTGCCCCAGAAGAGACAACAAAGGAGAAAATGTAGATAAGTTGTGTATATGAGTGGGGGCAGGGGTTGATTCTTCTGTGTAGTAATTTATTTCAGACAGATATTGACAGTTTGAAGAAATGAGACGTCACAGTTTCTCTCTTGGTAATTATTTTGGTTTAACTTAATTCTTTTATACAGCAAGTATTTTAGAACAATTGTTTTATGGCTCTCATCTCCAGCATGTGCTCAAATAATTTTCATCAAGTCCAAATTACGATGCAGACTGATATAGAGTAAAGTTTCTGAGATACTATATGATTTTATATGTAATATTCCAAATATTTTCCAAAATAAGAGAATGTAGTTTTTAGCCCAGGAATACATTCCAGTATCACAGATTTCTTTTGAAAAGGAAAGTTTAACTAAGATAGTAACCATCTTGAGGCCCTGACATCTCACATCATTTAAGTCTCACTAGTTAACATATTAAGAAAAGCTTAGTAGGAGCCTGCCGGCATGGTACAAACACCACCCTAATTGGAGTAGTGACAGAGCAGAGTCGCCTCCCGTGCCAGGAACAGGCCCAGCGTCCTGCAGGCGGGGTAGTCACGACACCCCAATTGGAGTAGGGGCAGAGCAGAGCCTCCACCAGTGCCCGAAAGGTGGGCAGATCTGCGACCGACCAGCGGGACAGGCCCAGTGGCCTGCCGGTATGAGAGACACGTCACCCCATTTGGATTAGGGGCAGAGTAGAGCCGCCGCCCGTGCCTGCAGGGTAGGCAAACCTGCAACCGACCGGCGGATCAGGCCCGGTGGCCTGCCGGCGTGGTACACTGTCACCCCAATTAGAGTAGGGGCAGAACAGAGCCGCTGCCAGCTCCCAGAACAGGCCCAGTGACCTGCCGGCGTGGTAGCCACGACACCCCAATTGGAATAAGGAGAGAGCAGAGCCGCCGCCCGCACCTGCAGGAAAGATACGCAAGCAGTATGAAAAGACAAGGAAAGAAAGGACCACAAGCAATGCAGGTCAACACAACTTTAGAAGAGGTAACAGCTGCAGCAGATGGAATGTCAGATAAAGAATTCAGGATATACATGCTTCAGATGATCTGGAGTATCAAGGAAGACATTAAACAGCAAAATCAGACAATGAAAGATCACTTCGACAACGAATTACGCAAACAAATCCAGGAAGCAAAGGATCAACTATACAGGGAGATAGAGGTTATAAAAAACAAGCAATCAGAAATCCTAGAAATGCAGGAAGCAATAAACCAACTTAAAAACTCAATGGAGAATACTACCAGCAGAGTAGAACACTTAGAAGATAGAACATCAGACAATGAAGACAAAGTATTTCAACTGGAAAAGAACATAGACAGCTCAGCAAGACTGTTAAGAAGCCATGAGCAGAACATCCAAGAAATATGGGATAACATTAAGAGACCAAACTTAAGAGTCATTGGGATACAGGAAGGTACAGAGCTCCAAACCAAAGGAATGAGCAGTCTATTCAATGAAATAATACAAGAAAACTTCCCAGACTTGAAG